TGTTCAGCGGTGTTTTGTAGCAATCTGTGAAATGGGTGACTTGTAATATTTCCAAAAATGGGGGGGGGGGGGGAGCTCAGGTCTGAGATCACATTTGAGACCAATCAGCAAATTAGTAAAATCATGTAGCTGACCTGGTTTACACACTGAACCTTCTTGTCTGCGTGTGTGAGAGAGTGCAGTTCATTTGCCGTTTCTTGCCTGTTGGTCATGCTCTGGTTTGCATATCAGATGAATCATCTTTCCGAGGTGTTGGGTCACAGTTAAATTGAACATCTTGGAACCAATTTATTCCATTAGGAGCTCCGAGTCCAGGACCAGAATACTGACAGCCAATTTCAGCTCCTCTAAAGCGTCAAGCATGAAGGAACCGCGACAAAAGATGATAGATTTAGCCAGACAATACACACACCATTCCAGTATTTTGGCGTTTTAAAAACAACCGTTTTTACGATTATGACTGCATACACAAAACATGGCAAGACTTCATCAGCCAATAGGAAAAATTAAAGTGAATGATAGGGACTGTCAAACACTAAGAAGGATTGTGTCCAAACTTGTGTCCACAGAACTACTGACAGCAAACCTCACTATTCACCTTGAAGACCCTGTTTCCACAAAAACCCACCGCAGAGAACTTCACAAAGCCAACATCCATGAAAGAGCTGCAACTGCTTTAATCACAGACACCAGTGCTAAAATGTGAAAAAAATATGGTGTCACGTTCATAAAACTTCTGCACTTCATCTGAACTTCAACATCTGCCCTGGTCAGACAAATCTAGAATAATCAATCCACTGTGGGCAGTTTGGAGAGAAAAGTGAGAAGCTGATTCCCCTTTTCAACATCTCTGAAACAACTGGCAGATGTTCTGATAAACATCAGCCCACTGTAGACCATTCAAAAGTTGTACAAATCTATTCTAAGAAGGTTGGAAGCTGTATTTAATTCGAAAAACAACATTTTGTCCAACCAATGTTTTTCCAAGCAGTCTCTAAATAAATCAATGGCAATTTATATGCAAACAATTCTTACATTTTTTTTGAAGCTGTACTGAAACAATGTTTTTGAAGAATGTTCTAGAGTATTAGTCTTTTCTGTTCTTAACACTTTTGAGATACTATATTAAAGACGGATTGTTACATGCCAGTCTGTTTTAGCCAGAGATAAAAAGGAAATGCATTGACGTAACTTTCGCGCCCTTAGTTGTACTTTGACATAAAACCAATATCTCGCTTATTTGCTACCAAGTGTCTCAAGCAAAGCCACCTTCAAAATTGTATCATGCATGAAGCAAATTGATAGTCAAAAGTCAAAGACAGTCAGTCACACAATGCAGAATCACTCAGATCTGGACTAGAGTTGCACTGCCACCTAGGGGTGTTCTTTAGTGTTGCTGCTTTTGCTTCAAAAAGATCAGGAGAAATGCATTCAGTCAAATGTGTTATTTATATGAACTGGTAGTATTTATGTAGTGTACAATACAAAACTAAACATATGCACAAACATACTATATAAAATGAGTTGAACAAACACACTGGAGTAAATGGAGTGTAATCTGTCACAGCAGTATAATAAACCTTCTTTACACCATTCAAGGATGTTTGGACCACATTATTATGATTCTTCGATTCATACTCACTCATAATCGAGGACTTATTGTTGATTTGAGGACCATCTTTAAGGACCGTCAGGCCTGAAGAAACACAAAACCAAAGACAAACACCTTCATTTTGCTTTTATAAAAAACTATGGTACTAATACTATGGTACTTTGACATATATTATATTTTATATATGTGACATATATACAGGTTCAAAAATCTGAGACCACCAATGGAAATGCTTCTATTTTACATAAAGTTTTCTAATTCAGCTCAACATTATATTCTCAGCATTGCAAATTAAAAACATGTAGATGAATTTCAGAATTTCTTAGTATTTTTTAGTATTTCTCAGTATTCTTAGTCTATGATGTTGAAGTACTATGGTATTGTACTGTCCAAACTCACTCTCTCAGCCACTCAAATACAGTCACACACACTTGGTCACACACCAGCGGTCAGAAAGGCTTAACCGTGGTTATTTTCACTGAACCAATAACAAGTCCTTTATTTGAAAGGCAAAGTGTTAGGACTTGCATAAGTGAAAAGGTCAGAGTGCCGGCGAGAGCTGAAGCAGATTCAAAAACCCAGAGTGAAGTGATTGAACGCTGCAGTCTGAGACTCAAAAGAGCTGTGGAGAGATGAAGGTCAAACTGAAGTCTGAAATGATTTCCAAAGATACTTCATCCTGCACAATATTTATGGAGTCCGGCCTTAAATGCCAAGACAGGAAGTGAGTTCTTGAGCGCTTAGGCGGCGGTCTGCGTTCCGGTCGCAGAACTGCATGAGCTTCTTGGCACAGCGGCGAGGACGCAGAGTTCTGCGGAGCAGGAGACGCAACAGACGCATTTCCCGCTCGCTCAGAAGCCCATCGGTGTCTGCGTCCAGCCACGTAAAGTACCGATGAAGAGTTTGAACAGACGAGAAAGAGGCTGGAGAGGTGAGGACATGAGGACGGGCCTCAGGGCTCCTGAGAGACAAGAACAACATCATAAACTACACAAAACTCAATTCATGATGGACGTTCTAGATCAACACACTTTCCAGATCTGCCACTGAAATGAGAATGTAGAAATGCATTTAAAATCATTAGAAAGATTACAAAGATCACATGAATGCATGCATAATTAATCAACTTTTTGTGACTTCTCTGTGCACTTTTAAAGCACTGTTATATTTTATTTATTATATACTGTTATAGTATTTATTAACATTTTGAATTAGCTTTTATTTTTATATTGTCAGTTTTCATTTTCAATTTAATTGAGTAATTTTTGTTAATCTCTTTTGAGATTTTTATTTGTTTATTTGTTAATATTTCTATGCTGCTTTATATATTTATTTCAGTTTTAGTCATTTAAACTTGTTTTATTTCATGTAGTTGCCAAGGCAAGATTTTCATTTTAAATTTTTTTTTGTTTTTCAGCAAATATTTGTATTACTATTATTTTGAAAATATTTCTATTTAGGTTTATTCATATATTTATTTCAGTTTTAGTCATTATAGTCGTACAATTTAAACTTGTTTTACTTCAATTAGCATTTACGTTTTTTAAGTTTTCGTTTTTCATCCAATATTTGTATTTTATTTCAGATTTATTTTAATTAATAAAAATGTTTTTAATAGTTTCAATTAACAATAACAATACTGTTTTAAATGTGAAGTGTATCATTTTCAGCAGCCAAACTGAATTGCATCTAAATCAACATTGAAATTGAATTCATCCACGTTGAAAAGACATTGAAACAGTCACAATATCAGTGTTGATTGAAAATGCAAAATCGAAACAAAATTCAAGTGATTCAGCTTTGATCCGTGCTGTTGATTCACTCATGAATAAATGTTGAAATGTCATCTGGGAACAGATCGATGTTATGAAAGAGTGAGCGTTTACTCTGATGACTCAATATCTGCTTGTCATGATGTCTAATGACTGTAATCGATGTGTGTCTCTAACCTGTAAGCAGAAGATGGAGCCTCGTTTTCAACTTCCTGCTGAAATTCTTGCATTAAACTCTTCAGAAAGCCTGCCTTTCGTACACTGGGACAACCTACACAAACAGACAGATATCGCAAATAAAATCTGCGATATATATTTTAGTGAATCAAAGAGCCTAAGATCGGACCTGTTGGTTGTATTTACATTCATTGTCATAACATATTCACATGACATACAGATTCAACAATACAACTAATACAAACATTGTATAAAATTCAAATTAGAACTTGTATATACAACTCTATAAAAGATCCTTTAGATGTACTTATGATAAAAATACATATGTTTTACAGACAAGTTAGTGCTGCAATATTGACATTTTGGTGGTTCTTCACCATTACAGAAATGCCCACGAGTCTAGTATGTATGGAAGCTTATTTTCTCCATGGAATAAAAAAGGTGACTTTCTCAGAATTGTGAGATATAAACTCAGAATTGAGTTATAAACTCATAATTCTGAGAAAAAAGGTCAAGAAATGCAAGATGTTAACTCCCATTTCTGAGTTTATGTCTCAAAATTTAGACTATTTTTCTCTCAGTTCTGAGTTTATCTCAATTCAGCCTTTTTTTGTCTCTCAATTCAGACATATTTTTCCTCACAATTCTGGGTTAGTATCTTACAATTCAGACTTTTTTTTTTTTACAACTTTAAGTTTAGATCTCAAAATTCACACTTTTTTTCCCCATGCAATTCTGAGTTTTAAGATATTACCTTTAAATCACCTTTTTATTTTTTTATTCCAAGTATGGCCTATACGACATGACACCTTGTATGAACAACTTGGTCTGGATTTAGAAGAGTAAACGCATGTTGTCCCACCACAGGACAACTTCTCAAATCCAGCCTGAGATCTGACCTGAGCGAGGCGTTTGTGTGTAGCTGTTGTTGATGATGAGTGTGTGTGTTTCCTGAGAGCTGCAGTCAGGCAGTTGGTTCCTGCACACAGTACAGAATCATGTAGAGTTTTCTACACTCACTAACACACACACACACACACAGACACACACACAATCTCCCTACCTGGCTGAAGTGCCCGGCACGGGCCGTCCTGAGTCCACTCTCACGCACTAGCAGTATCCTGTGCTGCTGTGGCACTGAACGGCTCTGTACCGCCCATCTGCACTGCATTCTGGGACAAAACGCTCCTCTGACCCCTGAATGGCCGCTTCAGCGAGCACAGACATCCTCTCATGTTCACAGGTCTTTAAAGAGTCTGCAGAGTAAGAAACAGAACAAATTCAGTATTCAAAACACTCAAATGAAGCCTTGATCATCTTTCACTCTCACCTGCGGGTCGTCTGTCGGAACGGTTTCCATTCGGGTCAGAGTTCAGCAGGATTGTCACCCAAATATAAAGTAAGAATGAAGTCATTAACACTAAACTCACCTGCAGCGGTCAGAACAGAGCGCTGGTCAGGATCAGGAGTGGAGCGCCACCGAACGCCTCGCTCTAAACCCAGAGAGGAAACATGTGAGATACTGGGATGATTATTTAATCATACTGCAACATTTGTGTGTGTGTGTGTGTGTGTGTTCTCTCACTTGCTTGTGCAAATCCCGAGTAATATCTGACATCTGACCTTCAACACAGATGATCATAATTGATAAGTGAGATGATAAGTGAAAAACAATTAGATTTAGATTGCATATTTTGTGAAGAAAAGTAAGGCTTGTCCATGCAAAATTCACTGCCACAATGCTAAGGTGTTCTGTTTGGTTTCTAGAGATGTTTTCAAATCCTGAACAAAGGTATCTGCATCTATACTAAAATGAAAACCATAAAAAACTAAACTTGAAATAAAATAAACATTAACTGTAATAAAATTAAATAGAAAAAAAAATATTTTATTTCAAGTAGTTGCCAGGGCAATACTTCTATTTTCTTTTAGTTTAAGTTGAAGTACTAACATAACTAAATCTAAATGATCTAAAACAAAAAGTAAACCTTAAAGGGTTAGTTCACCCAAAAATCAAAATTCTGTCATTAATTACTCACCCTGGTGTTGTTCCAAACCCGTAAGACCTTCGTTCATCTTCAGAACACAATTTAAGATATTTTTGATGAAATCTGAGGGCTCACTGACCCTCCCATAGACAGCAAGGTAACTACCACATTCAAGGTCCAGAAAAATACCAAGATGATCGACAAAGTAGTCCGTGTGACATCAGTGGTTACATGCGATTCATTATAGCTCAGCTCTTGTAAAGTTGGTGTTTGCATGTGTGGTCTGATGCATTGACATCTGCTCTATATGAGACGTGTCTGTTGACACATTCAAACACATCTGTGCTATACAGAGTTCAACCACCTTTACAAGAAATAACCCAGCATCACATTAATAGCTCAAACCTTCTGTTCCTGTGGTCATCAAACGTCTGACCTCGTTTCACGATAAGTGTTAAGTGTAAATTATTGCTCAAGATGTTGCTCTTTAGCTCAGCTGTCTTAACTGAGTTATCAACTATGTATCAACTTAGTTTCAGATGTTTGGAAAAGCCTCATGACGTAATCACACCGGATCTGGGTCAGCGCCGGCGCCGCCACACGCTCGCGTCATGATACTGTTGTGAACGCACGTCCACAAGTGACGCAATAGAGACAAAAATGTTCTCGTAGCTTTGTAACTTTACAGTTGAACCACTGATGTCACACGGACTACTTTGTCGATCATCTTGGTACTTTTCTGGACCTTGAACGTGGTAGTTACCTTGCTGTCTATGGGAGGGTCAGAGAGCCCTCAGATTTCATCAAAAATATCTTAAATTGTGTTCCGAAGATGAACGAAGGTCTTACAGGTTTGGAACAACACGAGGGTGAGTAATTAATGACAGAATTTTCATTTTTGGGTGAACTATCCCTTTAATAAAAACTATATTGACAAAAAAAAAAACGAATAAAAACTAGTAACCAATAAAAATGCCCAAAACACAACAAAATTACTAAAACTTAAAATGAAAGCAGAAAATCTAATTCAAAATATTAACAAAAACTATAGTAAAATACTGTACATCCATGATACTAAAACAACACTAGTCAGTATCACTACACCCTAAAAATTTGAAAATCAGTTATCAAGTTCACATAACTTTGTTCATAAGTACAATGAACTTTCAGTAATATTTGAGTGAAATTAACTCATTTAATTTCATTAAGTTCACTGTTTGGTTTTACAGTGTACAATAGTTGATTCTGCTCCCAAACAGAACTCACCAGTGCAGTTGGGCCGCAGATGTAAGACAGAGCTTCCGCTCATAGGCATCCCATCAGGAGAAGAGCACCAGCAGTAACCCGTCTGATTGTGACACTGCACCTACAGGTCAAAGGTCACTCAGACATCACAGCATATGAAATATTGTGACCATGACTTCCTTGTCAGTTACACTGAACTTTAGCATCACAATACCTCTGTGTAAGTTCCGTCGGATTTGCATTCTGGGATAAAGATGGCGAAGGAATCAAATCGAGCGCTGGCCTGCAGAGCTTGAGAGCGAGCCAGCCGACATTTAGACCTCAACGCATCTGCTGACAAACACAAACACTTCAGACTGACTTTTGATGAAAAGCCTTTGTTTTCCTGTGAAGAATCTCACCTGTGCATGTAGATAATGCAGCCGTCCTCAGCTGGCTGTTGATGCACTGGGCACGCTGGAAAGAACACAGAGATTTATACAGTCGGCCGTTGCTGCCACACACAGCTTGATGGCGCCCTCCAACACCAGCGAATAGAATTAGAGAACAGGAGGGCGTGAGTTTCTTTGCATCTGGCTGAATGTGAAAGGCTAGTCTGTGGGAAAACTCTCAAAAAAAGAGAAACATGGTGTCTGGCTGAAGAACAGCAGTGTGCTGTCGTGAAAAACGCTGGAGGTCCCATGATGGGAAGGTGACGCGAGACGGTTTAGACACGCTAATGAAAGATTTATATTTATGCACTCTCTCAAAGGACAAATTATCTTGTTGAAGGCAAGCAAAGAGAGTACATATTTATATTTCAAATAGCCCTAACATTAAATATTCAAAAATATTCTCCTGCAATTGAATTTGGAATCCTCGTGCACTTTGAGAAGAAAAACTAAAACTTTGGAGAGATGGCAGTTTGCTCTCAATTGGCCAATACTGGAATAAGAACATATCAGAGCATATGTTTTCCAATTACAACAGTAACAATCTTTCTGTGCCAGATTATAACTAGTACTAAACGGCTATATATCTTTTCTATTGTACATAAAGGTGTTCTGATGTACAAATGCACATATATATCAGACATGTAGTGTGGAAAATAACATGCAACACAGTTTAGACTTATAATAGCAGAGGTTCCATTACCCATGAATATCCCAAACATATGAGGCAGTGTTTACTGAATCCATGAAAAGAACAGAGCAGTGTGTCCTTTAATGAAGCCCAAGAGAGAGCTTGCAAAATGACTTGGACATGTTCAGACGTTAGTGGAAACATCTCCATCTCTGGTGAGTGTGTACATTGCCCACATGTTCTATATGCAACACACAATCATTCCTGAGAACGAACCATGAAAACCTTCAGTAAAATTATGCTTTACAGCATAACATACTGTAAAGGGCATGTCATGACCCATCAGATTTAGAATTTAATCAATGTTTCTTCTCATTTTTGTCATTAATCATTCATGTACATTAATGTCTATTACTTGCCCTATTAATTTTTTTCTGTGTGTGTGCCAGTATGCACTGCATGTTTATAAGTTATACAGCCGTTGGAAAGACCAATTTTTAACAAATTTATACATATTAAAATCTCAACTGTAAGAATATAATATAAATTCTAATATTTCAATGACAGAGTCAAGGTACTAAAGTAACTCTTAATATTTTGGACTCTAGGTTACGCATTTCGTTAAACGGTTACTGATTTGCCAAAATCATCAGGATGGAATCTTTCCACACCTTCACAGTCCAATTTCAATGTGCAACAGCAAATGAAACATTGAAAGTGACATGAACACGGTTGTGCTTAAACCCGCTCCTGCCAAGTGTGCAGAAACAAACAACACAGAAAGTCAACGATGTCTCTGTTGGAGAACAAGGCAGCACTGTAGACACGAGGCATGTCTAACAACTTTATAACTGGGGTTATATGTTAAATATTCAATCTTTGTGACTTTTTAGAGTTACTAATATTTTATAGAGTTACTAATATATTAGAGTTACTAATATACAAGTCCTTCATTACACCTTTCGTTAAAACTGCAATCCGTAAGTTTTGCCTCTTTGTCGCCATCTCTGTTTGAAAACCTGGAATTGCAGCTGTCTGCGGAATTATCTAGCTTGAGTGGGTTGTGAGTCGGTGCGGCTCCAGCACGGATGAATCTAATCTAAAGAGTATGTGTGGCAGTCAGTCACCGCACCGGTGTGGATATTTACTGTACTTCGCAATCACAGATTCTAGCCTACGTCTTGGAATATGACCCAAATAAGAATTTTCACCGTATATTGCCATCTGGACAAGTAACAAGTCTGTCACGTTTGTTCTGACCAACTGAGGAAAAAAGCATTACAATAAATCTCACTAGCAGCCAATGGTGATTAAATCTAAAGATCGGTTAGCTCATATCACATCAAACCGTTCAAATTATTATTATTGTTATACTTTATTCTCAAATGATTGATGTTAACAACATCAGCATTGGTGACTATAGTGTGTATTAGCGTGTTGATTTCAATTTCTGCACAGTCTAATCTAATTGCCATACTCTTCGAATTTCATATTAATAAGAAATTCTTTTAACCCAAAAAGCAAATTATGCTCCCTTCGCTGCAGCAATTAGCAAATGTATACATTTATCTGTGAATCTGACTTTTTCAGATTTGTCCTAATCCTCTATAATCTGTATAATTTTTTTTATTTTTTTTTATTACACAACTATGGCCCAGTTTCATAGACAGGGCTTAGCCTAAACCAGGGTTAGGCCATAGTTCAATCAGGACATTTAAGTAATTTTTATAAACATGCCTTACAAAAAAGCATTACCGGTGTGCATTATAAGACAAAACAAAGGCACTGACATGTTTTAAGATCAGTCAGTGCAAGTTTCTTTCTGTTGAAACAGCTCAGATTTACATTTTAGTTTAGGACTAGGCTTAAGCCTTGTCTGTGAAACTGGGGGTATACATTTTACACATGCAAGATTAAATAATTTACTTTTCGTCTCCAGTCGTGAGTTTACCTGATTTTCGTCCGTCATCTTTACTGAATCTGACAACATAAAGATGAAGAGTATGCCACAGGTGAACGTCAATGCCAGCATAATTCCCGCCACAACAGCCCAGGCTCTGAGATCCGTCACGTTCTTCCCGCCTGCGTGTGAATTTAAACAAAAGGCGCGCGTCCTCGCGACAGTAACTGCCAGGATTCAGAGGTTGAAGACAGCAGAAAAAAAGCCCGCGATTACTCAGGTTGTCATAGCAGCCTAACCGTTCGCTCTCTATCCTACGAGTTTTTCAATCATCAGACGGGCGATAAAAACGACCTATTTTGACCAAAATAATATAACCTTAAACACATTAAAAACGATCTGTCTTCTGTAATCTTTCGCTCATGTTGTCTAAAGAGCTCAATTCAGCCGACTGTACGGACTTCACATTTTCACACAGAAACTCCTTCTCAGGACGGCAAGGAGGATGGTAGGTTAACTCTATTGGTTGTTGTGAGTCTTCACCTGTCTAAACTGTTTAATAGAGCTGCTGTTTTTGTTGTTGTTTTTAAAAGTTTTTATATAAGTAAAACAGCACATAGCAATTTAATAGCACTAGTATCTGGTTAATTTGAGCTTTCTTAAAATAATGTTGTTTCAGCAGCCCACAAATTGAGCACCATCCACAACGTGTGAGGCATAACGCAGATTACCACAGGGGGGGAAAAGTTATTTTGAGGAAAAACATTAACACCAATACAGTAATACACTAAATCTGTCTGTCACAGGATGGATCATGGTCTAAAAGGCAAATTGCTAAACATTATTTTGTCACGAATGTTGTCGACAGAACTTGTATTTAAAGACAAAGTCATTAACGCATTCATTTATAAACTTTGAATAAAGTCAAAAATTTAAGCTCCAGAGAGACAAAATCAAATGACTGGTTGAAAACCTCAGCAAGCAGGGACACAGACAAATAATTCAAAGTGGTAATATTTTATAAGGAAACTTTATGTGTGCATGTGAAATTCACTTTTCATCTTGAGACAGAAAGCAGTTTTTGCAAATTTCCAGTACAGCAGATAACGCTTGATATTAAAGAGTACAAAAGAAAAAGAAAAAAAATCAGAATTCCAAATGCTTTTATTCAACTTTGCAGATGTAAGGGCAGGCTTTTTGGGCCAAGTCTGTTCAAATCTTATGAAGCCCATCTGCCCAACCCTTTTCCCTCCCTCTACCTTTAATTTGTTCTCACTTGAATTCAACACTTCCGATTGCAAATCACCCCCGCCGTTCATTACAGAGCATGTTGGTATTGGATACACGATTGCATAGATTTGATAAACAGTAATTTAATGTTAATTAAGACATAATGGAATGTTCATTAAGACTTCAGCTCTCTCACTCCTTCCCCTCAACCTCCAGAGCTGTACATTGGGTCCCTGCCCCTCCCTATAGAAAGAGAAAAACGAGTGTACAACAAAAGGAAAGGAAAAAATGAGTGGGAGAGAAAGCAACCTGCAACTACCAGGCACATTTGTACTTATTTCTTACTATATAAAATTATATTTTCCACTGTTGATTCAGCAGCTGTGTAGTCATAGGCTCTAGTGAAGGGTCACTACAAGGCTATGCTGCTCGCATCACCACTGAAGCTCTTACATGGACATTCAGTAATATCTGAGAAACAATTAGAGATGGATGGCAGATGGACATTAATTACAGTTAATAAATCCTTAAGGAACATGTCTACTTGAGTCAGGGAGTCAATAAGAGAACGCTGTATGGTTGATTGGGGAAGGAAAACAAGAAGTCGACTAGGTATTTCTGTAGCGTCATTCTTCAACCCCTTAAAAAACAGACCTGTAGCTACCTAAACCTGCCTACAGTACTCCGCAGGGGTGAAACTGCTCATTTTATAATCTTTGCTTATGACCTGAAGCCCAGTGAGACCGCCATGGGTAGTCCGACAGTTCTGTGTACTGGAAAATAAGTATGTACAGCGTAGATTCCCACTAACTCAAAATTGCTGGAGAAGAGAGAAATAAAAAAGGGAGGAAAAAGCTGAGGTTTGATTTTCAAAGAGTTCCACCGATCCAGCAAAATGGGTTAAGAGGGCATGTCACAAGTTCCCTATCAAAACACTTGTTGAGTCATTCTCTCAATTTTCCTACGATATGCAGCCTTGCTATATGCCAAATAACATATTCAAATGCCAAACCAAACCTCCCACCCCACCAACTCTAGCAAGAAAACAACTAAATTAAAACAAAGAAAATAGCAAGTTAACTGGAAAAGCTTGTGCCCTCCCCCCCGGGGTAGAGGGTGCAGGTTAAGTGTTTAGGCATAGACTGCAGCCAAAGCTGATTCTTTAAGCTCTCTTTAGTTCCATCCCATAATAACCTAGTGGATTTAATTGATAATTAATATTGTTCTAATTTAACGATGCCAACGGCTTAACACTAACTCTCTTTACAGGTAACTGCTGGTGAGAATTCACTAAAAAGCTGGGAAAACATTGAGTTCTTTCATAGTATGCATGTCATTTTAAGAGGAAACGGAAGAAGATTAAAGAACCTGAGCTGTGGCTACAGTCCAAGGCCACACACCCTCTCTTCCCTTGACACTGAATCTGCAATATTAAACTTCTCTCTTTCCTTCCATCCTACAACTTTCCTTAAGCTCTCCAAGACTGACATGTTTAACACGGAATCAAAAGGTTATCCCTCAATGCGTGGCAAGCTTCATCAACAGTTATTTGCTCTTCCCACAATGCCATGGTAACCCCCTTCCCCCAAACCTCTATCCCCCCCTCCCCCTCAGGTGTGCTATGAAGTTCCATTTCCAACACTCTTAAATATCTTCCTCTTCCTCAGGAGCACTGATCTCTTTAAGGACTAGATGGTTGAGAGAAAGACAGATGCGGCTCCATCCAGCGCTCTCATCTATCTAGTCTGTGAGAAGATCAGCACTGATGCAGGAGAGAGAACTGCTCTGGAGTTCTGGAGTTAGCCCTTAGAGGTCGCTCTCCCCATACAGGGCGGTGGAGAAGGACATGTAGTCAAGAGCACCTGGCACCGCGTCGGGGCCCGTGTATGGTGCCATTCGGGCAATGCAGTACTCTGCCTGGTCAGGAGGAAGCTCACGCCTCAACTCCTCGGCTGTGATGTAGTTCTGAAAAGGAGAATAGATGGGGATAGGTTAAAGTCCCATACAACAAGAACTCTGAACACTTTAGACGGACATCCTGGCATGCATATTCTTACCTTGTCTCCGGCTAGGATCTTAAATGAGGCGATGACTTGGTCTGCGGTGTCTGTGTCGGTTGTTTCCCTTGACATGAAGTCGATGAAGGCCTGGAAGGTCACTGCTCCACTGTTGTTGGGGTCAACAATGCCCATAATACGAGCAAATTCGGCATCACCCTGAAGAACAGAGGTTAGAGGTTAACCCAGATAATCCGTGAGGAGAGTCATGAGAATCAAAGTTAGACACCATATTTGATGCAAATGAAAATGAGGCTGTAAGAAATTGGCATACAGATGGGTCAATGCATTGATTTTAAGACTTGAATGGTCACCTGAATGGTAAACGCCAAAGTGCACAGTAGTACAACCCATTGAATGCGAACTTTACATCTATCCTTCAGCCCCATTTTCATTTGATCCAAATTAATACTGCATCTAAGGTGCTTGACTGTGGTCTATTACGGGGTGGCCAACTCTGGTTCTGGACAGCCACAGTCCTGCAGAGTTTTGCTTCAACCTTGATAAAAACACTTTCTGTATCTTTCCAGTAACCCTTAGACCTTGATTAGGTGTGTCTGATTAGGGATGGAGTGAAACTCTGCAGGACTGTGGCTCTCCAGGACCAAAGTTGGCCACCCCTGGTATATTAGAAATAGAATCTATTCAGTTAACTTTTTTTTTCTTTTACAGATCTTAACTTAAAATATAAATAAAAAATATAAAAAGTAACCAATGATATCAGACAAAAATAATTTTTTAACAGCAAGCAAAAGCAGGAGTTCAGGAGAAATTGTGTTGCTGTAGATTGAGAAAGGAGGTAGCAGTACCAGGCTGTTCCCAGTGGAAATGAGCAGTGCGCGGAAATCGTCGCCATCCATTATCCCCGTGCGCTTCTACAGTTTGCAAAGGGAAGGATGAGAAAAGAAACAGGAAGGATGCATGTGGAAAGCAGAGAATTTGGGGAGATGAAGAGGTTGTACGCAAACAGAAGAGTTTGATAGAGGAATCAGAATGAGTTTGTACAGAAGACAAGTAAAAGAAGGAGGGAAGTTATAACAAGGACAAGTAAAAAAATAAAAGAAAAAGGAAGCAGTGAGAAACATAACACATGAAAGCAAAACCTTAGCTGACCTGCAGAGGGCACCTTTTCAAGCAGCAGCACAACAGGTGAATGAGGGAGTTAGTGAGTGATGGAATGAATGAGTGACGTGGCGCGCGCACACACACACAGACACGGAGACAGACGGCAGCCATCTTAACCCTTTCTTCTCTGGGTGTGCTCATACCTGCTTGTTGTTTTCTACGTCGTAACCCAGACTGATCAAACAAGCCTTGAACTCCTCAGCATGTAAGACACCACTGTGGTCCTGTGGTAAGCCAATCACGCAAGGGTCGCAGTGGATGGACCAATCAGAGCATGCAGATTAGGATTGATGATACCGATACACAATGACATAACAGCATGTGTGGGATGGAGGCAGTGGCATGACAAAAAAAAAAGATGGAGACAACACATTGTGGATGTCAGACACATGGGCTGATGGCTAAACAAGTCTAATGAAACATACTTATGACAGTTAGTGACCTGATTTCTTACGAATGTCAGACATAACATTCAGCTTATGATATTAGAGCCATTATGAAATCACTATAACAGTTTCTTTACTTTACCGTGACTAAATTTCTCCACTTTAACATAAAACCCCCTCATTACTTCACTTCCACTAGACTATATTTACACATTGCAAATATGTTATATTACAAACATTTCAGGTCAGAGGTGTTTGACGCGCAGTATAATTCAGATATTTTCCCTCCTATTAGTGCCAGAGTAAGTGGAGAAAATGGAGCAAGTCTGACCAAAATTTTAAACTGAGGTCCATTTTTATCATGCATAAATCACCCTGAAATTAAACACAGCCATTCACCTTGAAATAAGCAACACTGACTTAATTTTCCATATTCTTCTTAATATGGACACTTTAATCCTCTGCAATGTTGTGTATTTTTAGTGGCCTGCAGCTCAGATTGCTAACACAGTTAAAAAACACACAAACCCTATTTTTAAAGGAACAGTTCACTCAAAAATGATCTCAATCTTCTAATTTTAAAATGTATGACTTTCTTTGTTAAGTGGAAAACAAGATGTTAGACTCCATTCTCATCTACACTTGCACATATTCAATTTTGAAGCATTGTATCAGCAGTGATGCAAAATACCATTGGTTTTTATGGATCTTGTAACCAGTCCTGACATGTCAATGCTTTTTTGTTAAAAATGACTTCTTTTTTTCCATGTTTGAGTGGTCTATTCCTCTACAACACTAACCTTCTTCTTTCACCTAAATTAGTCCATTTCACACACAGTCAAACATGCAAATGAGTTCCTGACCTTGTCGAAGTGATTGAAGGACGTGCGGTACTCATGAAGCTGCTCCTGGCTGATGCCTTTAGCATCACGAGTCAGAATCTGGTTCTCGATCTCATTAATGGTGCGGGCAATTGTAGTAAGGAGTTGCTCCCAACCAACACGAAGGTGCTATAGAGGAGTAAAAGGCAATGGAAACACTGTCAAGTAACAACACAGCTAAACAAACTTTACACTAGAGGGAAACAGCATGTAGGAATTGTAAACACTTGACCTAAACAATACATCTATGGTTCCTGCATGGTTTCAATATGTGTGTATTGGCATATGCATACCTCCATAGTGTAAGCAGTATATTTGTTGTCAAATATAAGTGCTTCCTGAATGAGCTGATGGTCTCCCTCCAGTTGGTCAATGTTGGGTTTGTATTCAATGATGCTCTGCTCATACTGACGGAGGTGGGTCAGCTGATCTTCCAGCGTTCCATTCATCTCAATTGATATCCGCCCGATCTCCTACAAATATCATGCCATGGAGACACAGATGAATCATTCAATATTTTTCTTCTTTGAAAAATGATAAGATCATCAAGGTACAGAAATAGAGGCAACTATACCTCCATCTTATTTTGGATCCATGGTCCAATCATGTTGGCCTGGTTGGCAAACTGGCGTCTGAGATGGTCATTAGACTGCTGACGTGCGAGTTCTTCCTGAAGAGCCTGATCACGCTGTGGAACCAGTTGCTGCACCTTCACAAAGACACAAGATAACATCAATACTTGCGAACTCAACTCATTTGTAAACCTACACCCACACACCTGAAGGAAGCAATGTCTCATTCACAATACAAACAGATCTTACCTTCTCCCATTTCTTGTCAATGCTCTGAGGGGTGATGGTGGTGTAAGGATTGTTTCCGGCCAGTTTGATGCCATTGTACTGTGCGATTTTCTGAACTTCAGCCTGGATGGCCTGAATAGATTCCCGCTCTTTATTTGCCTCTGGAAGAGTTGATTTGAACTGGTCATGAGCCGTTATCAGTCCCTACATAAAGAGAAAGAAGTGAAAAAAGGTAGAAAAAGGATTCTTGCATAGAGCATTTTTTTTGTTCAGTTCACCTTGTTCTGAAATGGACTATCCAGAGATACCAGCAACAAAACAAGGAGCTCCATTTCAGAGGCGAAGCAAAATGGAAAGATTACGAATACGAAACATTTTGCAGTACCTGGATCTCCTCGATGTTGTGTACAATGAACATGTCCTGAAGGTCCTCCATGGCTCCCTCCATCCAGTTGTTGAACGGTGCTGCTCTCTTGGCGTACTCCAGGTACAGCTCATCAATAGACTCCAGCTGTTTCTCTGTTCTCTGTAGACCAGATAAACACACAGTCAACATGATAAAATGTATAAATATGCCAGAAAGTGTCTCTCCGAGAAAGCAAGCGTACCTCGAGAGACTCTCTGCGGCTCTGTGTGAGGGAACCCAGAGCATCCCATTGCTCACAGATCTTCTGACAGCGTGCATTAACGCTCGGGGAGTCGTAGTAGTCCAGCTCACTATAATACAGACACAGAAGAGTTTGAACATTGTCTCAACTTCACTTACAGCCAGAATTTTTTATTTAATGAATTAGCCCTATCTGTTGTTGTTTGTTGCTTCTATTTTTTTTTTGTTTTCTCACTTGAGCTCCTGTGCAATAGCGGCAATCTGCTCCACTCTGTCCTGGTGGGCAGCAAGGTCACTTTCGAACGCCTCGTGCTTCTTCAGGAGAGCTTTGATCTCAGACAGAGTTGCGGTCTCATAATCCTTCTGTGTTAGCATGGCCTCCTTACCTACACAAACAAACACAGATCAATTTAGATCTAGTGACTGTTTCTTAAGACTTCTGCATGGCTGACAAGGCTCTGCATTCATGAGATTCAAAACACTGATGGAAGAGTCATAAAGGAGCAGCCTGTTAATGTATACTGAGAGCGATTGGTGAATTACTGTAGGTGAATGTGAATAATTGTCAAAAGCATCAGTAAGTTCAGGTGTAGTTTCTGTATCCATACCATCTGTCCAGCTTTCATGGATGGCTGCTTTCTGACGGAACTTTTCTGCAAGATGGTCAAGTCTCTCTAAACGACGGATCTCATTCAGTAGCCACTCTTCATAGCCTTTCTCTGCCCCTTCCAGTTTATGCCATGCACCATTAATGTCCTAGAAAGAAAGAAATAACTTTTTAGACAAATATCTTTCAGAATTGAGCCAGTGGTTCAACAACAGAGGTTGAGAATGAACAAGTTTCATCATAGCGATAAAGCAAAAAGACTTTTAAGTCTTATAAATTGAATTGTACATACCGACACCATGCGTCCCTCAGATGGCATAAAGGCTGGTCGGTTGCTCAGACGGAGTTTGGTCTGCAGTGTGTTGAAGTTGATCTCTAGCTGACACTTCTCCTGAACTTTGGGTGGTTTGTGAACGCGACGGTAATCGCGGAAATCTTCCAGTTTCTGCTGCATTTCTGTCATGGTTTTCTCTGGAGCACGGTTTTCCAACCATGGGATTGTCCTACGAATCCACTCCAACAGCTATAAGAAAAAAAAGCATGCAATAAAGAAATGAATGGAGGATCAACAGAAAACACATTCTCCTCTCAAACATACTGAGACAGTAAAAGTAAAACACTCTGGGTAGTTTGTCTAGAAATAGGTCTGCATTAAATATTACTACGTCTACTACCACGTCTACTTGAATATCACACAAACAACAAACACAATGACACAAACTCACATCGCTGGCCAGTTTTTCATAGTCCTCCATCAGGTGCTCATTCTCCTGATTAACTGCCAACACCTTGCAGATTCGATTGGCTGCTGTCTCAGCCTATCACAGAAGAGGACAGTTACAATCATATTACATCACGCATCTTTCTAATTATGAAATTTTATCCAATCATTTTCTAAAAACATTGAACAGCACAATGTTTACAACACCAATATATAGGGTATATCATAGGTTTAAAGTACAGTGATATAGTATACACAATACACTTCAATTAAGAAGTATGACATATCTGTGTTTAGAACTGTAAATGTCAAGTTGCTGCTTTAGTTTACACAGGAAAGAAATTTTGAACTATCCAGTATTTAATGGTTTTTGGTTTGGTGGGTATAGCAAAAAGAAAGAAAACACGCAAACGATGTACTGAGCACACAATGAAACAAAACTCCAAGTGTGTAAGTTAATAATATGCTATACACACAATAACATGCGTAAAAACTAGCCAAATGAAATAAAGAATAAGTTAAACATCAACATTACATACTTCACTTGTAAGATCTTTTATACTAATTGAAATTTCATGCAAACACCCAATTGGTTAGTTTCGAAAACTTGTAGTCTAGCTGAAAAATCCACATGCCGTTTTTTTATAAAACCAAATCTGCATTCTCAATTTTTATACCACCACTGGAGGATCTCTTCAGGGTTCTCTACAGCATTAACTAACACTGAAACACAGAAAGTGTTCAAAACGCTTGTGTAAAATGCTAAAGCACATTTAAACAATTACAATTATAAGCCTGTGGCTTCACTTCAAATGCAAAACACATATCTAGCATATGACCAAAACCTCACAAAAAAGTACTGTCCAACGTAAAGGTGGGCTTAACATAAATAACAAACATAATACATGTGCTTGTGTAGACAGATAACACAGAACATCTAAGAATTAAAACAGCAACCCTAGAGTTTTAAATGTGAGCTATACTGTGAATTGCATTATGATTTTCATATTTACACTCAACACTGTCCTCAACTGTTACAAACTTAATCACCGAGTGCAAATATGAAACATCAAACAATTATAAGCCTGTGGCTTCACTTCAAATGCAAAACACATATCTAGCATATGACCAAAACCTCACAGAAAAGTACTGTCCAACGTAAAGGTGGGCTTAACATAAATAACAAACATAATACATGTGCTTGTGTAGACATAACACAGAACATCTAAGAATTAAAACAGCAACCCTAGAGTTTTAAATGTGAGCTATACTGTGAATTGCATTATGATTTTCATATTTACACTCAACACTGTCCTCAACTGTTACAAACTTAATCACCGAGTGCAAATATGAAACATCAAACAATGAAATTCACCTTTTCAGCATTTAAAGAAAGTTGTGACAGACCAGTACACCCATTGAGGATATTAAATGACTGCAGAACCATTAGAAAATAAGAGCATATATAGAAAGGGGTGAGGGCAATGGTTTGGGTGTAGTGAAGCCCAAAACTGTTATGACTCAAAACTAGTCAGTGGCTTATCTCTCAAGTCACTTTCACACCTGGTTCAGTTGGATTGGTTTTTGGTGCAGGTTACAAATTGGATTACCAATTTAAGCAGCAATTGGCTAAAAATTTTACATTCCCATAATTACAACTGGATTCTTTCCTCATTTAAGACTCCGTATTTGACTCAAAGTATAATAGCATTGGAATAAAACAATGGATCATGAAAACAAGGCATCCATCTGGCCGTTTGTTTGAAATACCCAATCCAGAACAAGTCAGTGTTATATGGCGAGCCAACAGAGTGGGAAAACCCAGACCGAATAAAAATGATCTTCATCTGACTTGGTTATGTTTGTGTACATTAATGTGAGGAGAGCAACTACAAGAATTTTGAAATAGCTAACCTAATATGACAATATCAATTAGCCATGCTAGCACTGTTGTCTATTAATATTGTTGTATTAACATAAATGTGCAAAGATTCTGAGTATAAGCTATACAGTGCCATAGGCTACATTTAATGTTAGTCCTTTGCTCTTGCAGCACATCTGATTGGAACAAAGTACAACAAACCAAGACGAGAGACCAGGTATGAAGGCACATTTAAGAGTTTCAAGGCCAAAAGTCAGGGGTCAAAGGTTTCTCACCTTCTGAGCACCTGAGAAGGCGTGATAGAAACAGGAGACGTAGGTCATAAATTCTCCTCTCATAGAATAGTAAATCAATAGTATGCTAAAAGTGTTACATTTTATTACATTCTATTACGTACTACTAATTTTACATACTATTTAGTATGGATAGTATGCAAATTGGGATTCACTCCTCTCATTAAAAAGAATAAATCAATACTAGATGCTAAAAGTGCATGGATGGAATACTAAGATTTGGAACACACTAATTGTAATGTCACATACTATTTAGGATGTATGGCATGTGACTTGGGATTCGGTTCTCTTCTCATCACAAATAGTATACCATCCAGGCACTTTTAGCATACTATTTTTAATGTACTATGATTTGGGATGCACCAGTGACATCACAAACTATAGAGGTTGCCCATTATGCAAATTAGGGTTACAAAACAGTACACACACAGCACTCCGGTGCAGCAGGTTGAACAGAGATCCTGGAGAAGTTATGCTTGAGGGAGAAATAACATAATGCTCAGGGATGTTACCATGGTGACACAATGTTGGTGGAAGACATTAAGTGTGGGTGTTTGCACTGTCTGTGTCGGAGAGCAGGAACAACTTCTGGAAATACAGGGCATGTGCGGACATACACAAAACACACACACTTTAATAGAGCAACTCATTCACTCTCTCTCCCACTCACAAACATCATCGCACAGCCAACTAACTTCATATGCAGACACAGATAGCGATGGACGCAGAAAACGAGAGAAGAGTTCATACCCTCTGCATCCAACATCTTGGGGATGTCAAGGTATCGTTCTGCCACTTCGAAAGCATTATTCAGATTGGTCACTGGGTCGTCCTGTTAACACATAATGAAACAAACAGTCATTTCAGCTTTTCTCCAGCACTACACATCTGAGAGCACCTGCAAAACACAGCAGAATGAACCACAAGAATCAAAATATCCATCATTCACAAAGTTTTACAACATCCATCACCCCCTTGCATGTTTGTTTGCTAAATAATTTTGCTAATTTCAGCTATTCAGCTATTTTGGATGGATAGTATGCAAATTCTTCACTCATCCAGGCATTCTATTTTTAATTGTACTAAGATTTGGAATGCACTAACTGTCATATCACATATGATTTAGTACGGATAGTATGAGAATCAGGATTCAATTCTCCTCTCATTAGAAATAGTGCATCAAAAATAGTATGCTAAAAGGGCCTGGATGGTACACTAAGATTTGGGACGCTCTAATTGTAATGTCGCAAACTAATTAGGGTGGATAGTATGTGAATTGGGATTCAATTCTCATCTCATCAGAAATAGTATACCATCCAGGCACATTTTACCAGTGTTGGGCAAGTTACTTCCAAAATGTAATACATTATATATTACTAGTTACTTACATATTAAGATTTGGGATGCACTAATGTCACATACTATTTAGGATGAATAGTATGCAAACTGGGATTCAGTTCTCATCTTATCACATATAGTATATCATCCAGGCACTTTTAGCATACTATTTTTTGTGTACTCTGATTTGGGACGGACAAATTCTGATATCACGATATGAGATTTCCACAAGAAGCAAAAAATCCATCGTTCAAGTTCAACATCCGTCACCACCCTTGCATGTTTATTAAATACATTCACTAATTTGACAGTGCTTTTTGCTGCCAGTTAGTCTCAGCTCCACTTTTAATCTTTCTAAATCTAAAGAACTGCACAAAATCACCCCTCAAATCAATGCATTAACGTTTACGGATTGCATCTTAGCCTTTTTTTCTAATGAGATACTAACCTTTCTCAGCTTGTCATAATCGATGAGCTCCGGCCTGTGTCTATGGATCAGAGCATTGAAGGCGAGACCATCCTTCCAGCTGTCGAGAAAGAGAAGAAGAGATGGTCAGAGGAAACATGTATTTTATATTTCTCTCCTTTAACCAGCAGAGGGCGCCACTCAAACCACAGCTTATAAATTTTCTCCTATTTCTGCATTCATGTCAGTGTTGGACTTGTTAAACTGTAACAGTAAAGGAACTTTGCTTGCAATTTCAGATTTCAAAATTTCAGATTCAAGACCAAATTTTTTAACCATCATCTTTAGCTATCATTGATCATTTGTTTATTCAAATACATCCATAACACCGCTCTATGCAAAACCCACCTTTGGGTGAATCAACAAAATTAAAACCACAGAAAACACAGTCAAATAAAGGTCGTAGATCAAAGATCAAATCTAGTATGCATTTCAAACCTGATATGGAAGTTCTGAACGTTGACGTTCTTGTAAGGAGCCGTCTTTCTCTGACACCAGAGCAACAATCCTTCTTTAGCGGAGGTTTCTAAAGAGAGACAAACAGCAGAAACAGGCCATTACTGAACATTCATTAAGTTTGTTTGGGGTTGTTCTCTAAAGTATGCTCGATTATACAGAGCTGTTCCTAAAATTTCTAAAACAATATGGAGGTTAAATGATACCCTCCACTGAGATGTCCTGGATGGCGAAGCGGAGGATGATGGTCCAAATCATTCCCAGAGTCATCTTGGCATTTCCATCCACGATTTCTATAAAAGCAGGCACACAACACTGTTAGATGTTGAAAGTGAAAAACTTGCTTTAAAAAAATTATAAATTACAATAACTACATATATAAACTAAACTATAAACTATATCATATTTATTAGCACGCATCAGTGTTATTTTAGTATCACTGATATACTACTATAGTGTTTGTTAATGTTATGAATTTGATTTTTTTTTTGTATATTTTCAGTTTTCATTTTAATTTAGCACAAAACCGGTTTTATTTTTAATATTTTATTTAACTTTTATTTCAGGAAATTAATGATTGTTTTGTTTTAGTTAATGATAATAATCCTGGCTATTATATATATATATATATATGTAAAATCAGGAGTGAACATACAGTCTGATACACAGGAAAGTGTTTATACCTTCTGCACCGATAGACACCAGTTTGACTCCTTTGCTGGCGATGAAGTCCAGCGCTTTGTTGACGTTGTTGATCTTGTGAACTCTCATCTTTCCTCTTTCAGGTTTTGGTAACCTCTCCCCTGCACGAAAATATGATGACTTCTCACATGCTTTCCACATTATTTCCATCACATCAGCACAAATACGAACCCCACTACATTCTAAACATTAGCTCAGCGTCTCTGCAGTGTTTCGCACAGCTTTGGGAAGTTGCAAATGAACTAGAGACTCCAGGGTGAATGAATGAATGATTGAAGTTTGCAGCTCACTGACCTGAGATGACCTCTAAGAGCAGCATGAGTTTGAGTCCATCTCTGAAATCCTCCTCAATGTTTTCGATCTGCGTTCCTGCCTTCCGCAGATGAGAGTTGCACCAGGCCGTGAAAGTCTAGAACAAACAGGAAATTATGTCAAAAATGTGGAAGCAAGGTCAGGGAAACAGGAAAGGGCTGCGTTCTGCTGCATGCAGGAATGCTCAAGATGTTTGCTCAGGAAACGGGCGTGAAAATCAACATTTATGATGCGTTTAGAACATAAATACAAGACCACTCTTGTACGAAACAGTTACTGAAATATTACTTTGCTGATGAAATATGACAACAATATGACAAGGTGAGCAGAAAACAAATTCTAGTAAATCTTCAAAAAAAAAAAAAAACCATAAAAAAAATATCTAAATGTTAAAAATATGTATCAAATTATAAATTATATTCAAAATGAAAATATAAAAATTAAAAGGAAATTTAAAATATTAATAAATACTATAATAGTATATAAATACTAATAAAATAAAAGTGCTCTATATTTACTTCCTTTATAACTCTATATTAATGAAAAAATATTAAAAGTAAAAGAAAAACACAAGTGATTTACTCATTAGTTAGCCTCTCTAACTGACTAGTCTCCAATACCTATGTGATCCTCAGCAGCTCAACATGAAGCAGCATGAACAGACAGAGACAGGCATCAGATCACACTGGGAAAGGGGTTTCTAGGCCTGCAGCCTGAAACACAAAGACGCCATTGAGTTTAGTGGATAATGAGCCCCTTCACCACCCCCTACTCTCGTACGACAGGCACCTACCCGGGACAGGCCCGCCACAAAAACAATTCAGCCTTCACACACATACACACAAACCAGTCAGGACCTGAGCCGGACGGCCACATCCACACTATCACAAGACGCCAGAAATAAATCTGCTCACACAGGGGCTCTCTCTCTCTCTCTCTCTCTGTGTATGTGTTTAGGGAAAGCCCTGCGGGACGTCTGTGATTAGTTGGGTGTGGGGTGACATCATTCCATCAAAGTCAGAAGAATTACAGAGGAAGAGCCGCTACGCCACACATGCATGCATTTATGTGCCACTTTTGGCCAGTTATAATGAAATACACAACACTGATGCAAGCACTTCACAAACACACCACCATATCGTCCATGCATTTCATATTGGCCATTTCAACTCTAAAAATAAATAAATAAATAAACATTTTAATTAAATGAAAATTAGATATGTTGCCTTGGTAACAAAATGAAATAAAACTTTAGTTAAGTACTAAAATTACTAAAACCAAAATAAAAATAAAGCTAAATAGAAATATTTTTACAAAACTAAAAAAAGACAAAATGAAAACTGAAAATATAAAAATAAGAGAATTCACAATATTAATAAATTCTATAATAGTATATAAATATTAAACAATTCTCTACATAGAGATATTTTAAATAACTATATATATATATATATATATAAACATGAACAAAGGTGAACATATTTATAAAAAATAAACAATTTATTTATATTACTATTTACTCCGATATCTAAATATATCAATAATAAAAAATATTTCTTTTTAATAAGAATAATTGTTTATATTTTTATTTTAGACATTAAATATAATATTCTAAATATAATATTTGCTTAACATTAATTTGTGTGTGTGCATATATATATAATCTACACACTAAATAAAATTACTAATACCTTACACTATAATTAAAATGAAAACTGAAAATATAGATTAAAAAAGTTTTATATTAACACACACTAATATAAATAATGTATATAAAATAATATATATATATATATAATATAGATAATTTAATAGTAAATGATAGTATAATAGATATAAGTTATTAAAAAAATACAATATATATAAAAAAAACAAAAAAACAAGTACACTAGGTTGATGCAAATACTTGGCAAACACACGTCGCACTTGCATTGCATGTCGCTCATTTCACCTCGAGTAATGTGATCAGAATCATTTGTAATGAGATCAACGGTGGCATCGTGGAGTTTCGGAAATGTAAGAGATAAAACTCTCTCGTTGCCACTCCCTGCTCAAGAACGTATGCGAGAGGGAAACACATTGTTTCCCGGGCCGTCCCACACAAACTCACGCTCCTGCAGCGGTGTGACTGACAGGAGAGGCCTGGTGCTGTCAGAGGAATGAGCTCAAAGCACACAATCAGCACGAGTCATACCATCCCTCACTCTCTCTATGCGGCCTGTTTTCAGGAGCTTGCTCAGGGATTTGAGAGTGTAAGAATAAATAAATATAAATCATTTAAATAAAAATAAACAATACATCTAATACTATAACGTAGGGATGGGAAGATTCACCGATTCGCTCGGTGCATCGGCAAAAAAAATTAACGGTTTAAAAGGTGTGCATCGGATACAAGTTGGCATTTGTATCGCGATGCATCGTTTCTAACATATTTGCATCGGTAAAAAACGATTTATAGGCTACACTTTTATTGTTTAGAAAGTGACCAATAATCTGTGACCAATATTTTATATGTAACGTTAGATCGATTTCTCCTCTCGAAACTGTTTCTCAAGCGCGTTCTCTCATCACCGCTGCACGTGAATATGACGTATCACAACAACACTACAGAGACCTGAGGAAAAGCGGGGATTAAAGTCCAAAATCTGACTTGAAATAACCTAACAAATCAATCGGGGCTAAAGCAGTTCCATAAACAACAATGTAAGTTCACACAATCTCACAAATTTGTGGACGCTGAATCTTAAGCAGCCTTTAATGTCGATCATGGATCAAATCGATCCACCATGGCAAACAGCGAATATATTTGTGCTGTTTAATGCATTTGAGACGTTGTGTTTTCCTCAGTGCATAACTGACATGTCACAAGTATATTTTTCCTCTGTAAATGTTAGAAAGTCATGCAAATATATCCATTTTGCTTGCTGTCAGGAGTG